CATCCAGTGCCTATTTCCATCTGGGACAGGCCAGGAGACTTCCACCATTCCCATGTAAATATGCTGTAAGGCACGGGTCATTGTGGCAATGTCTATACTGCAACAACCAACTCCAGCACTGAGTCTCAGAGCCCAGGGCAACTGACTCAGGCTTGCAGGGCTGAAGGGCTAAAAATAGCAGCATAGACATTCCCACTCTCAGAGCCTGGGATCCAGCCTGAGTGGGAATGTCTATGCTGCTATTTTTAGCTCCATAAGCCCAAGTCAATTGGCCAAGGCTTTGAGACTCAACATTGCAATTGCAGAATAGACATACCCTCAGTGACCTGCAGGCTGTCTTAGAGCAGTGCCCTCTCCTTTGAGATACTAGAACATAGTGGCTACCTCCTAAGCATGCCTTTGGGCCAGAGATCACTCTGTAGCACGCTGCCTGTTCCCCTCTCCTCAGTCCTTTAAAAGCCTCACAGTTAAAGGTGGTTCAGACAGCCACCATATAGGGTCCCATTATTTAGTCCTCCAATGCATACTGGCCCTCTAGGACACAAGCAGTTCAGTATTTCTCTCCTGATTTAACCCAAAATACCACAAATCCACAAACTTACACAATCTTCATCCCAGCTGGCTTTTAGTCTCTCCCCAGCTTTCACAGGGCCTCTCCCAGGCTTCCCTGCCAGAGCTTTCTCATGCTTCTTCAGCTTTCCCCCCCCCCCCCCCCCGACTCAGGGCCCTGCAGACACCTTCTTACCCCCCTGCAGCAACTACAGTTTCCTATGCTTACCACTACCACCACACCTTCCTGCTCTTTTTATCCTGGGAGCACCTGATTCAACCCAGGTGTGGCTCATCCTGTAATCAGGGCAGGCTTAGCCCCAGGCTTTCCAATTTATGGGATTAGCCATCCTGTTACAGATACCCTCTGGCTGTTCCTGTGGGGTTTTATATGCCATTAGTCTATAGCCCCCCTACAGTTCTCTAGCAGAATAAGTTAGGGAATATTCCTAGACAGTGTATGGGTGGCATAATGGCTGTATCACAAAGCACCCAACAGCCCCAGCATGGGGTCATAGCCAGGAAGAAGGTGGCATGGCCAGGCCACTGCTGAGGTCTGCTCTTCTTGGCTGCTGGAATAGCCCCTAGGGGCTTTAGGCACCAATATGTAAGTTAGAACATCTTAGAGGAATAGAGAAGGGTACAGGGCTCCATCTTATCCAACACGTAGCTGGAAGCGGATGGGAAAATTTGAAGCCCCTCTACGCAGCCCTGTCTCTGTTCTGCCTCTCCCACCCCAGGGCCTCCTGGCAGCTATGATTTGGGGAGCAGCCTGCATTCTCATCCCTCAGCTTTCTGCCTGTTTCAGGGGGGCAGTTTCCACTATCCCAGCCTTTCCGGAGCCTCCATTTGAATTCCCCTCCCCAGTGCCTCTCTCTGCTGTTGCTCAGAACTTTCACAAGGAACAGCTAAACTGGCCTGATGCTTAGAGAGGCAAGATGAAGTGAACAGTTAACACCTCTGCAGTCAAACAGCCCCCCGACCTCATCATCAGAAGACAGCTCCTCACAGAGCAGGACACACCAATTCAAAGTGGCACTAGACCCTGCCAGAACAACAGATGCAAAACCTGCAGACCTGTCTCCACTGCTGCAAAGATCAACACCACACACACACACACCGCTACACACACCTTTCAAGTTCCATGGGTCCTACATATGTGGTGTACCTCATCCAGGGCACTAAATGCCCCAATAATAACTATGTGTGTGAAACAATGGAACAAATGAACCATCACAGAAAAATGATATAAGACAAAAACACCCTATCACCTGTGGAGGAACACTTCCCAAAGCAAACACTCTATATATGACCTGTCAGTCCTCATCCTCAAAGGACACCTTATGCTCTAATAAATTTGTTAGTCTCTAAGGTGCCACAAGTACTCCTGTTCTTTTTAAAGGACACCTGCACACTTTCAAACAATGAACCTGGGAGCTTAAATTCATAACTTTGCTTGACACTAAAAATCATGGACTGAAGAGAGGCACTAGATTTATGGTTTACTACAACAGTCTATAACCCACTAAATCCCCTCCCCAGATTTTTTTTCTCTCCCTCTCTCTCCTTTCCCCCCTATGATTGGAGAGGTGTTTACTGGCCACTTCACCGTGAATGGTCTCTTGAAATGTGTTAACTACTTATGCTAAACAATCTGTCCCACCTTGTATTTAGCTGTGACACCCTGTGTTTTTCCCAGACCCAAAAAGCTCTGTGTAAGTAGGAAAGCTTGTCTCTCTCTCACCAACAAAAATCGGTCCAATAAAAGATATTACCTCACCTACCTTTGTCTCTAATATCCTGGGCCCAACATGGCTACCCCACCACTGCATGTCCTGATGTTTGTCAGCTATGTTGCTGTCAGAGGAAACTGAGTGTGGATGGATATGGGGAAGAAATCAGTACTGAAGACTGTCAAGACTCTGGTCAGTTTTCATTTTGCTGCAGCTTAGGGTAGCTTTGAGCAGCAGCACTGCAGCATTCTGACTGCCGCTTTAGGAAGGCAGCACTAATTGGATTGTACTCCGTTTGCATTTGGAAGTTACCTTCACAGCTATGAGGGCTAGCTTTTTTTTTTTTTTTTTTTTTATTAAATGAAAAACACACTCCTAGACACCCCGCTGAATTGATTTTTTTCAAGCCCTTGTTAAGAGTGGCTGCAGTCAGTTGCCCTTGCTCTGTAACCTTTTAGATCTAAAACTGAGCAGGGTCAGGTCAAGCCAGTGCTCAGATGTTCTTTCATTCTAAGTAATACAGGAAATGATGTTGTTGATGCCCCAGGAGGTGCTCTTCCCTCTACGTCCGAATTAGTACCATGCTGTGCATTGGCTAAGGATCACTGCTGGTGGTGCCAGCTTTCGGCAGAGTTCTATAGAGTTTTTGAGCACCTGTACTGCTTAAGTCCCAGGGCACCTTTCACTTGGCTAGTGGCATGGCCAACCCTAACTGGACAAAAAAAATCCATGACTCAGCATGACAATCAGGGTCCAGATACCCTCAAGGGGAAAACAGACAATGAGCAGTTAACCCAGCTGATTGCATACTGGATTATAGACTCCTAGACTTTAAGGTCAGAAGGGACCATCACCATCATTTAGTCTGACCTCCTGCATGTTGCAGGCCACAGAACCTCCCGCTCCACCCACCCGCACCCCACACACTCCTGTAATAGACCCCTAACCTCTGGCTGAGTTACTGAAGTCCTCAAATCATGGTTTAAAGACTTAAAGTCACAGAGAATCCACCATTTACAGACATTCCTACTGTACTATAAACATATATATATATATATATATATATATATCTCAAGTTCTTTTATGAAAGCTTGTAATCTTCTTAAGTCATCATGAATAGATATATGGACTGTGGTCTGTGGTTATGAATCTATGTCTAGTCTAGAGAATACTTAGTCCTGCCATGAGTGCAGGGGACTGGATGACCTCTTGAGGTCCTTTCCAGTTCTCTGATTCTATATATATAAATAAAAAAAAAAGGGATTTTTATCTAATATGGAAGTGTAAAGCCTCAGGTCACACCTTTGTATATTTTGCTGTGTAGCTTGTATACGTGTGCTCTCCCTTACTATTCATCTTTGAATCTGTGATTTTTGTATTACATTTATTTTCATCCCAAGCAGGTCTGTTGTGCAAACTGTGTTAAGTAGGTGTGCCAGAGTGAACTGATAAGTGGGGGCGGGGCCAGGTTTCACACCTCTGAGGCTGACGAACAAGAGGGAGAGAAGTACCAGATGCGCAGCCTAAGAACTCAAGGAGCATGGATTTGGGGAGCCTAGGAATGGAAGGGTGGTTGGTGTGACCCTGTGGAGTAACCGTGCTGGTTGAAACCAGAGTGAGACATTGTGCTTGTGGGCAGGCTACTGGTGTCAGGGAACAGAACCAAAGCAGCACAGCATACAGACCCTCAAGGTTATGGGCAGGCAGTTTCAGAACGCCTTCGTGGTCTGGGTGATCCTCAAAACATCAGAGTCAGGCCCCCCCAAAAATTACAGGATTGGCTTAAAAATCATGAGGGTTTGTGTTGTTTTGTTTAAAGATCACACATTTTGAGGCTTTTCTTTGCTTTCTGGGTTTTCTACCTTAGAGTTTTATGCAGCCACCCTTCATCATGGTATGTGAGTGCCATCCATGTAAAATCAATAGCAACAGCCATGTGTCAAGCAGACCCCCTGGAGTCAGACACTTCTCCAATTTGGGGCGGGAGGGGGCACTCTGCTTGGGGTAAAGAGTATTTGGGGGAGGTTGTCTCCAGCAGCCAAAGCTTTAAGTATTGAGAGACTAGAAATCAAAAAGATGGCAACACTAGGCACAAATTCTAGTTATCTACATTTCCCTAGAGTTTGAAATGGATACACACCCCTCCCTCACCCCAACTTCCTTTCATTTAAGAAGAGACGTTGGGCAGTATGCATGCACTGTTTAAACGCCAGCCATGTTTTACCCCAGATTTGGCTCATCACACATCACTGAAATGTAATGATAGTTTGATAAGCACTTTGGCATCCTTAAACTGAAAGTGCTAGGCCATGGTGATGATGAAGGCCAGGTCTATGCTAGAGGCCTTGCAGTGCCACAGCTGTACCAATGCAGTTACACTGGCATAAGATTTCCAATGTAGCTGCTCTATGCCAATAGGAGAGTTCTCCCGTCAAAATTAAACCACCCCCAACGAGCGGCAGTAGCTATGTTGGGGAGCGAGCGAGCGAGCATCTCCCACCAGCATAGCACCGTCCACACCAGCGCTTCTGTCGGTGAAACTTGCGTCACTCAGGAAGGTGGTTTTCTCACACCCCTGAGCGACGCAAGTTAAACCGACAAAAGTGCTAGTGTAGACATAGCCAAAGTCAACTTGCGAAAACCCATCGTTTTCAGATCTATGGGAAGAATAGACAAATAAGGAAAAAAGGTGAAGACAAACCATTTTAAAGTTGCATTTCAGGTGGTTTATTGAATTTTAAAGAACTTGCCAGCTCTACACGTAAATATTTAAGTGTTCTCAACAGGATCACACAACAAACCACACATTTCAGACACATAAGCAAACCAACCATGCCTATGTCGCCACCTGTGGAAATGCTGTATTTCCAGAGCTCTGAAGCTCACTCAAGATCAAGGGCAAATGCATCTTCTAATCATGGATTGAGAAGGGTCACCAGCCTGTTTCTCATCCATCCCTTTGCTGTAAGATAACAGAGCCAGTAGATCAGGCCCCCTTCCCCATGAATGCTGGCTTCTGTCCTCAAGTATACCTCCCCTCCCCACCTCATTGTGTGTCAATAATATAGTTACAAGTGATGCCAAGAGACCAGTGCTGGTAAATGCTCAGAAACTCCTGGCTTGGGCCTCCAATTCTGCTCCCTATTGAGGGGCATTTTATAGCCCCCAGGAGAAGATCAAGGTCTCAGTCTGCTGCAGCATTGCCAGTGCAGGGAGAAGAGCATGAGTACTGAACCTTGGTGAGCTGCTTTGTCATCGAATAGAGTCTCAGCCCAAACAACTGCAGTCCAACTTCCTGGTGCGCTACCAGAGCATTGCAAAAAACCAGTTCCATTTGAAACCATTTTTGATTTGCCCCACTCGGCTGGCTGCTGAACCTAGGGCTTCTGAACATTTACTCAGCACTTTCCCTCCAACCCGTCTACTTAAAGGTCAGGTGTCCCTAAGATCAGTGCTCCTTTCCCTTCTGCGTGAGAGCATGAGACACTGATATCTAGCCCTGCCTTTGTGTTATGTGAAACGCCTGCGCATGTTTGGCTTATTTATCAGCATTCTGAGCGTTACACTGTAGCTGCAGCATCTCAAGTTCCCAAAAATTCCTACACTGCACTGCTTTGGAATTGCAGTATGGTAAACAGCTGAGAGCCATGCTCTGGCCTCAGCTACATGTCCATGAATCCCAGTGTGGTCAATGGGAGTTACATGTATATAGCGGAGAGCACCATGTGGTGCTGGTAGCCTTAGTTGCAAAACTATACTAATTATTCTCTACAAAAAATACTAGATTACCTATATTTCTTTTCACTCCCCCCACACCACGTTCAGGCATCTAAGTACATCTCAAACCATACAGATGAGGGACTCCACTCCTGCTGAAGTCTGTGGTAGTGCTGCTTCATGAACGTCTTTACCAGTGCTAGTGTCAGTTGTCACACCAAAGAGAAAGCCATGTTAGTGATGGGGCTCTTCAGTATGGCTCTGGAAAGTGAACATTCACCGATCGGCAGCCAACGTATTGATGCTACTGTGGAGGAGGAGATCATTTGACTCAAACACCATATACAGATGAATAATATATACAAAAAAAACCATACACCAGGCTGTAGGTTGCTTATCAATGTCACAAGTATAGGGGATTGCACAGAGGTTCTCATCTAGTGCACAATACATTTGAGGATTAAAGTAAACTGTGACTTTGTATTTTAGAAAGAGAAACTTTATCTTAAAAACAGGAGAGACTGCCACCAGCCCCCTTTTGCTAGTGCAATATAAACAAACAAAAACCTAGGAGTCCAAATGCCATTCATGTCAAGGAAAGATACCCAGCAATATGTCTGTTACAATCAGCATGCTTTAGTGACACAAGCTACTACTACACTCTGAAAGTCAGAGCGCTAAAGAAGTGCAAGGCTGCTCGACTCGCCAGGAGGCGGTCATTTTCTTGAACCTATAAAAATCCAATTAAACAAGCCACTCACTGCAAACAGCTACATGTGAGATTTTTTACAGGCATTGCACTCAGGGAATTCAGTTGTTCCCTCGGCAGTCATAGCTTGGCTGCACTGAATATACAAAGGGCCAAATTCTGCCTTCAAATAGGCACATGCAATTTCCATTGAAATCAGTGGGAGCTCTGTGCATCAGAGGGCAAAACTGGGACCATTGAAAGAGTTCAGTTACTGGGATGGATTCAGATTTAAGCTACAGTAGTTTTACACCAGCGCAAGAGAAACAAGAGTAAAGCCTCATAACGTGGAATTTCCTGACAAGAGTACCTGTAAAAAAAACAAACCACAAAGTTGAGGTTTTTTGGTTTTTGTTTTTAAAAAGGAAATTAAGACACCACACACTGCAGTAGGTAGTTGTGATAAGAGGTTCACAGGAACGAACTCTGAAGTAAATATTAATGTTCTCTACTGTTTACATCACATGATGAAACAGCTGTATTTATGTCCTGGAGTGGCACTGCACATACATACACTACTCACCATTACAATCTCTTCAGTATTGCTCTTGCAAGGAGTTAATTTTGGGAACACCATGGTAATCTCGCTTGCAAAAATGTTTGTAGAGTTCAGTGGAGACCACTCTCTAGCCCTTATCTGGAGCGCCACAGAGTGGTGGAAGTGGGGAATTTCAAAGGTTTGGATCAGGCCCTATTCAAGTCAAGTCAGTGTTATCAGTGACCTTAATGGGAGTTGGATCAAGCCTGTAGATTCTGTTAAGTGCTTGAAACCTATCCAGGTTACTGTTCTAATTAAGGGCTAAGTCCATGACAAGTCTGAAGTTCTATTCATGCACTAACCTCTTTGTGTTCTGTGTTTTGAGGGCTAACGTCTGCTAAGTTACAACAGTGAAATTCCACTAGGTTTGCATGCACGTGTACATATCCCATGAACAACCTGGCAGCAGGAGTGTCATTTCAATGGGTGGTTTTATCACAGGGTGCCCGTCTCCTCTCTGGGAGCCCCATTTCACAGATGGGAACTGAGGCACTATGGGTATGTTTACACAGGCTGCAGAAGCAAGCTTCCCAGCCTGGGTCGACAGACTCAATCTAGCGGGGCCCACACTAGTACTCTAACCCCTCTCCCAAGGCTTCAGAGCCCAAGCCACCCCTTCCAAGTGCTGTCTACAGAGCTATTTTTAGAGCACTAGCATGAGCCCCATGAGCCTGTCTGTTGACCCAGAAGCTCGCTGCTGTGGGCTGTGTCAACGTACCCAGAGGGGCTAAGTGACTTGTCCAAGGTCACACAAAAAAGTCTGTGGCAGAGTAGGGAGTTGAACCTGGGCTTCCCTCGTCCCAGGCCAGTGCCCCAACCACTGGGCCATCCTTCACCTATCACTGGTGCAACCTAGCAGAATTTAGCCCATAAAAACTGTTTTTGAAAGTAAGGCAAAGGGGGAACGATAGAGAGACTACTTCTTCCAAGCACACCCCACTCCATTGCGTGGATAGTAGGATTGCACTTTTTCTGGAGCAAGAACTAGCCTTGGAACAGTCAAGCCACAAGATACTTTTTGTGCTTCAAAAAAGAGCTGCTAGCAAAAGTGCATTCTCAAGCACAGCAGCGTCACTGCAATAAGACGACCAGAGAACTGCCTGTAATGTATACGCTAGTGCCACGGGCAGGCTTCTTAAGAGGTCTTCCAGTAAAGAACAATCTAACTGGCACTTTACTACCAAATACTTTTTGCAAACTGGGAGCATTTAGTGCTTGTGAAAGTGAGGGACTTCAAATGTTATTGGGAGCCAAGTGTTCTGCAGTGCAAGCTTTCCTCACAGAGCTCTGTCAATACTTCTTAATCCTGACCTGTAATATACCCTACCATACTGCTGGCTTGGGCCTTTCTTGAGCAAAGATTTGTGGCAGACTATAGCAATTTTATGTTGTCCTTACTACTGCTTAGGATGAAATCAGCCACCTCCTTTTCAAATCCCAGTGTGGGTTACAGGTGAACTCTAGTCTCCAAAGGTGAAAGGCTGGTGTACTAACCGAACGCATAACTAGCGCTCCTAATATTTAAAAATTAACAAACTTACGAAGTGCAACTTAACACTCACAAAGCACTACTTATTACCACACACACAAGAGAGTGGGGGCAGCAGCCAGAAGCATTATTTCTTCTCAACAGGTTTGACTTTCCCTTGATCTTCCACTTTTCTGATGGCAGCTTGGATAGCCTCTTGATCACCCAGAAACTGGTGACGGCTAAGAGGGCGCAGATTCTCATCGAGTTCAAGGAGCACAGGCACGCCAGTAGGGAGGGTAACATTAACTATATCCTCATCGGAGATGCCTGCAAAAAGAGAGAACAAAAAATGCCACACAGTTAAACGCAGCACAAGGCAACCTCCTGCCTTAAGATTGCCCCCAAGTATCTCCAAAGACGTTGGTCCACATTCTCTGCTGCAGCAGCAATCTGTTCAGCTAAGCAAGGAGTTGAGGTGCAGGGACCGTTATGGCTTCTTGATTATCTGCCTGGCTCAACCCTAGCCCCAGTGCAGGTTAGCGCTAACTATGAGAGCTGGCAACAGTCCCTAGGAGACTCAGTGAGCTGGAACATGACATGGAGGGGTGGCATGGGAGCCAGCTAGATGCACACTGGGAATTTCCCTTCTGTGACCCAGAGAGCCCCTCAATGCCAACTGGCAAAGCGCACACCATACCCTAACTCACATCAGGCTGGACACATTGTGTAGGATGTCATATGCAAACTGGTAAGAAGCTGGGCATGAATATTATTGTGTGATTTATGTGTAGGCGGTGTATAAGGAATTAGAGATGTGCTGGAACTATGTTCCTAAAGTGTGTTCAGCACACAGTGCATAAGTCCAGCTTGTCCTAGGCAAAGAAATGTTTTGCCTGCATCTCCAGTGGAAACGGAGCAAGGTAAAGCCAGAAACAATTGAAGTACACTTACACAGAAGGTAAACAAAGCCATCAAAACTAGCAAGTGCAGGAGAGATTTCCCACTAACGATCACAACAGGGGATGCTGTACCTCCAGGAAGCCCGCCTGCCTCTTGAAACAGAGACAATGGCTGTTGGGAAATATAAGCAGGAACAGAAAGCCATTTTGGCATCCATCACCTGAGAGACACAAGGAGCCAGAGTTCTTGAAATGTGAGAAAGGTGGAACCTTCACTCAAGGAGACTAAAGTCTCTGGGGGGCTGACTATAGGTGAGAAACCTACATAGACAAAGACTGTAACTTGCTGAAGTAAGCTTTAAGTCGCTAGAAATCATATTTTGTTGTTTGTAACCTTTCCTCTTTCAGTCTTACTTGAAATCACTGAAACCTATATTCTTTGTTAATAAACTTATTTTTGTTTTCTTACAAAGCCCTCTCACAGTGCTGTTGCACTTCACTTCAATGTATGTCTCCAGCTCACCTGACAGGCTGATGGGCCCTCTTTGGAGGCAGCAAATACAATACCTTCTTGTGAGTGTACAGGGAGAGGGACTGGACACTGCAGAGAGACATCTCTGGGGAACTTGGGAGCTGGGGTTCACTGATTGTTACCTGCAAGGCAAGGTGTGGACTGGCAGCATCCTGAAGAATTTGCTGGACAAGGCAGACAAGCTGGTGCATCGGGGAGTGGATACATAGCTTTGCTGCTGCTAAGCTCACTCATACGGAGGCAGAGCAGCAACACGGCGGTTCGCAGTTTTGGCTGACCTGAACAGGATGTCAATGGGGGAATTCCCAGCAATGGAAATGAAATCAGTTTCTTCTCCCTTTGGGCCACGTAAGTGAGGCAGGGAAGAAAATCTCCCTGCAGAACACACATCTTTCTCGAAGGCGGCTCTTTTGGGCAGGGACGTCCCTCTCCCCTGCCTTCCACGGCATGTCTGCACACTGCATAGCAGGGCAGGGCGCTGATCCTTAATTGGTGCCCAAAGGCACGACTGCAGTATGAAACAACCTCTGATACACAACCAATTTGTCAGTCCCTTTGAAGGGACTATTCAAGATTACCCCCCCCCTTGTTTTTAAAACCCTGAATGCTCCAGCTTCTCATATAAACCTTGTCTAGAAAGACAGACTTAATTCTCCCGCTATTAGGGGCAGATCTACACTGGGAACTTACACTGGCATAGATACATCTCCCAGGGCTGTGAAAAATCCACACCCCGAGCGATGGAGTTAAGCCGACCCAACCACACACACCCCACCCCAGACAGCACTAGGCTGACAGAAAAATTCTTCCATCGACCTAGCTACCGCCTCTCAGGGAGGTAGATTATCTACACTGATGGGAGAACCCCTCCAGTAGGCACTGCTTGTATCTACAGTGAAGTGTGATAGCAGTGCAGCTGTAGACATACCCTTGGCCTAGCACTGATACAGCTCCACCACACTACTACCAGTACCAGGGCTCGTCTACACTTGAAACGCTACAGCAGCATAGCTGCACCAGCGCCACTGCAGTGCTTTGGTGTAGAAACTACCGACACCAAGGGAAGGGGTTCTCCCATCAGCAAAGGTAATCCACCTCCCTGAGAGGCAATAGCTAGGCCGACGGAAGAATTCTTCTGTCGGCCTAGTGTTGTCTATACCTGGGGTTAGGTCAGCTTAACTACATCCATCAGGAGTGGGGATTTCACACCCTGAGCACTGTAGCTGGGTCATCCTAAAATTTTAGTGTAGGCCAGGCGCAGACTTTTGTGCCAGACCTAGACAACATGGTAGTAAGAACACTTGTGCCCTCCCGACATTACTGCTCTCACTGCTGCCAGATCAACAGTGAGAAAATTGCTAGAGTAAAGGGAGCCTTATTTCGGTCTCCATGTGTTTGCGCTGACTGCCACAGACAACCAGTGACAAGTCTTTTCTGCAGCTGCCGCCATCTGGGAGCAGTTTTCCCTCTTTCCACCTCGTTGACTCTACAAAAGATGGCCATTTCTCTCTCCTACTTTTATTGAAGTCCACCTGTTTTTAATTCTAAAGCATTTTGGGGATAGAGATTCTATGAGACAGACTACACAATAAAGCTGTATTGTACTGGTCACATAAATCACCAGAAAAAACACTCAATCAGTCCTTCTTCCCAAAACACACACCGGCTCGCACACACCAAACAGACAGCTGAAAACCAGGATTTAAAATGTAGCCAGAGAGTCATTGCAGGTTGTTTCTACATAATGGGTAAAATTTTCAAAAGCATCGGAGTGATTTTGGAGCCTAAATCCCCTTGACTTTGTGTCTACACTCTCTTGGGCTGGAAGGTGTAAATTCCAGCTCCAGGAGACATACCCATGCTAGCTCTGCTCAAGCTAGTGCATTAAAAGACAGAGTGTAGCCACAGCTGGGTGAGCAGTTGGAGGGACTAGTGGTTTTTTGCTATTTTTAGAGCTGGAAATTTGCACCTCCAGCTCCAAGTGTAGACATATACTTTGGCTCCTATATGATTAAGTAATCATGTACGTGCTTGTGAAAATGTTGCCCCATGTCTACACATACGTTTCCTCCCCACAAAAATCTGTGCACGAGAGTAAATTGTTGATAATGTCTAGGTTCCCCTTTAGGAAAGAGGATTCTGGAAGCAGATTGTAATTGGAAAGCTAGGTAGCCTGAAGTAATACAAGTTCAGAAAATAAACACAACCAACTTTCTAAACAGACTAACATGCCAAATGGACAAAGGGACAAGAGGCAAAGTACAGGTGAGCAGCTAAGAAAACAGACCGTTCTCACAGAGCAAAAGGGTAAATTGACAAATGATTTTCACATTAGGTGGAAGGGAATCACCAACATATAAACAGTCAAGACATTCATAGGAGCACTGTTATGAATGCAGGAAAAACACTGATCACAACTTGAACCATCAGTTGCTTTAATAAAGAAGGTTTAGCTTCATTTAAAGCTCTCTATTGTTTCTTTCAGAGCAGTTAAACAATAAAATTCCTTTGCCCATGGGAACAGGATGGCAGATTAATCCTAACAGGATACTTATATCGCTCCACAACTGTATGCTCCTTTAATACAAAAATCGCTAAACAAAAAGTAAAGTTCACAGATCTCATGAGCAAATCTCATTCATTTTATAATTTTGCCCTGATATACTCTAAGTTTGTGGTTTCAGTGTGAACTGAAGCAAGACTATTGTTGCAAATGACAGATTTGGGTTTCAACCCCAAAATTCAGGAGGACGTATGCAGCTGGAGAGATGTTCGTATAAACCCTTGCAAAATGCAAGCACCAAAGTTTCTGACAGCTTTACTCACTATCCTATAACTGATCAAAGTCAGTCTGTAAGACAGTAAGACACTGGCTGAGAACAGAAGAATTCTAACCAACAGCTCCAAGAACCTAAAAGAGACTACCATATTCCGAGAGCATACACTTCAACCAATAAACTTTTAGAATTCCCATGCAGAAACTCTGGGCTGCTGTATTCTTCATTTGAATAAAGGCTGTAGGACATGGTGTCTTGTATTCAAAGGTTTTGTGTTTGTAATGCTAATGGATTTCAAAAATTCACATGGCACTCACCCTAAAGGATCCTTAAGCACTTTACAATCTATAAACCAAATTCACCCCGATGTAAACATGTGCAGATTAACTGGCTTCCTTACAGACATAGCGAATTTGGCCTTATACAAGTGAGGAATTGCTGTGTCCCCCCCCTCTAAAATTCAGCCATTATTCAGTACCGATACAGCTACAGTGCATCTGGTGAAGACACACTAGGCTGACAGGAGCGCTTGTCAACATAAAAAGCCCACCTCCGGCAAGCAGCAGAAGTTATGTCAGCAGGAGCAGCTCTCCCTGTGCACACAAGCGCTTATGTCGGTGTAACTTGCAACACTCAGGTGGGTGGAATATTCACACCCCTGAATGGACACAAGTTTTGCCAACAGAAGCTATGTCTACTCCGCAGCCTAAGAAATGCCCAGCTTGTTTAGATTATGCTGCCACCTGACAAGATCACAGCCAAAGGTGAGAGGTGAAGGTTGAGGAGAGAAGGAAGAAATTCAAGAGAGGCGCTTCACACCTGCTTGGTTACTTTTACCACAATGAGAGTATCTGCACATGGGAACCTTTTACTCAGAATAAGATATTTATTAAGCACATTCAGTTGCATGCTGAAAACTGCACAGATAAAAATCCAAGAGCACTTCCAGCCGCTAGCCTGGCTAAGACATTGAACAGAAATCAAGACACTGGAAACATGCCACTCTGACTAGCATAAGTGTCAGCTAAAGCTGCTATCCAGTTACTTAACACACAGTAACACAAGCCAAGTGACCTTTTACTGCACTTCTGCATCCATACCAGTCCATGTTGAGATCCC